CTCGGCACGTAGTGTGCATTTCTTGCTCCCGTAGCTGTTTCTTCTATGAAAAGTACACACGGGAGCGAATCTCGCAGGAACGAACAGAGCTTTTTCTCTTTGCGCGCACGGTTTTTTGCCGGTTCTGTCTTAGGATATGGAGAGAGATCTGTGCGAAATTCCGTCCCCGTAACGACGAAGATATCGCGGTCGATGTTTTGTTCTGCTCATTTTTCCACAATGCTCGTATTTTAAAGACATTTTTGTTAGACGATTTTTTCGTCGAATGTCTTCGTATTCGTGTGCTTGTCAATTGCAGTAATGGAGTGAAGGAAACTAGAATGGAAAAAGAGCTACAGAGAGAAGTTTCTTTTTGCTTCTTTATGAAGGAAGCTTTGTTTTCGTGATAAAATCTTTTTTCCAGTTTTCGAAAAATCATATTTAAAAAAAATATCTGTTTGCATGTATATATGTATGTACGGAATGTACATTGGTATTGAATTTGGTGAAGGATCGTAAAGGGTTTATTTTTTAATAAAATTTTGAATTTTTTGAGAAATGTCTGTACACGCTGTAACTTTCGCAACTTTTGAGATATCTTCCTCTATGAGGAAGCCAAAATTGAAAAACTTGCTTGCTTTAAAAAGCTTAAGCTTTGTAAGCGAAATATAATGATAAGAAAGCAATGTGCAAGTTTCTAATTTGTACAATTTTCATCTTGTTTTATTTTTGGAATATATTTCCTAAATTTTAAATGTATATGTGTGTTTGTGTTGACCGACTTTTTTGCGATAACAGCGTTTCTATTTAAAAGAATATTTATCGGAATTTATCCAAAATTCAAGATAATGGTATTTAAAGAGATTTGTTAGTATTTTCAGATACCACATAGGTAGGTAAATGCAAGATATACGCAGCAATATATATTTGTATATAAAAGTAAAAGAATTGTCAGTATAAACGCTGATTTTCTTTATTAAATTCCATATAAATATTCCGTTATAAAATATATGGAAAAATAAGAGGACAATTTCCTTAATAACGAGTCAATAAAATAGAAAAAGATTGCATCTCTTGTCAATTCTATATTTGAACAATTTAATAATTTGTTCATAATATCAATAATATTTCAATTGAAGCTGCTTTTTACATCTACGTGATCATTATGAGTTATTTATTGCATTAAAAAATTCGATCGATCAATACCGCGAATGCTTTCTGGCACGACAATATTACAAAATTGCAGATATATTTACGTTGTTTATGCATTTCGTTTACCATGGATGTACGTGTTTCATCTCGAATCGTATCTTTCATGATTGCTAAAAATAGTGATTTTTTTTCATGCGCGAGCAAATTGATGTATAAAACGTGTCGCAGAAGATACATATGCGCATACAATGATACGTTTAGTGTCTTTTTTCGCGAGACGCACAACGTAACGTAAACCCTCTACTTTCCTCTCGTGCACGTCGACGATCATTCGTGCAGAAAATTGAAAAGCCGCACGAAAAGAACGACGCGCGTTCCACTTTTTTGGGCAAACGAATTATAGCTAGATGGAATGAGTGCGATGGATGACAAGATTGCACTATATTCACATAGAATCAATTTAAAGCTGCTGCGCGACGATTTTTAATTGAAAGTAAAAAAATTACCGTGTTTCGGCGCGTGACATTCAAATTTTTTTTTTTTTTTGCTTTGTTGCAAATTAATTAGTTGTCTCATTTCCATTCACTATAAAAGAATAATATTTTTTATTGAATAAATCGCCGATTAATATATCCAATTTTGATCAGATTAATTGAAAAACAATTTTTGCTTACGTAGTTCATATTTTTATCGTGTAAATGTAATCACGCGTCGTTAAAATATTATTCATCTACTGTGATATAGAGTAATGATTGGAATCTATAATTCTTGGTATTCTGCGATTTTCATGACGTTCATTTAATAGCTATGATTGATTTTTACTATTATTGTGTATAATCGTACAAATACGTACTTAACAAGCAGTTTTTAGAAATGATAGAAATAATCGGATGAAACGAGGAATGTATTGGAGTTATTATGAATGTAATTCGGTTATATATTAACCTGATAAATTATATTTATATGTCACAAAACATATTTTGTATATTAATTACGATATTAGTTTGACCTTTTAATTTAAAACGGTAATTGTGATTTTTGTACAATTTCTAATCTGGAAAAATCAAATAAATATAAATTTTTCTATAAATTTTTCATGTAATTTAATACTGGAATATCATAACATTATTATTCTTAATTTTATAACATTAGAAGGAAATTAATTTTTTTTTATAAAGATAGTTTTATTCCAGTTTTCTTTTCTTTGAATCTAAATAACTCCCGAACGCATCAACGTATCAACCTCCGGTTTGCACCAAAAATTTTCTTTTATTATGCCCTTTTAAACGATATACTACAATATGGGCGGTCCCATTTGAAATTTTTGATTTGAGGTTTCCCTGGGGCACCTCTTTAGGGTGATAACCCCTCTCCTTAACCCCTTTAAAAGAGTAGCCTCTCGAAATGATGGAACATGTATTTTGTGGTTTTTTATAATTTTGAGCCGTTTCCGAAATATAGGGAGTGGAGACAGACTTTATAGACACCCTGTATAATATTTATCGTAGCGTGACCAGCGCAACGGTTATTGATTCTTGGTTTCTTTCAAAAACTGTGAGCTTGTGGACGAGCGCGTATCGTTCTTCACATAGGTTTGCGCGCATTTGTGTGAATGAAAGCTTGCGTTTCTCTCTTTCCTTGTTGCGGCATCATACTGCGAATGGTACCACATGATGCACACCTGTCTCATGTGACTTCTCTTTGTAGCGATTGTAACGTAGATTCACATCGCATTCAGGACCGACAAAGCGTTAATCGATATTAATTACATCACTCGGTTTCTATCATCCGAATCCATTTTCGGCTCTGTTGACCCGACGCGGAACGAGCAACCGTTTGGCTTTCCGCATGGGATCGCGCAATGGATATCGATGATCGCTTTTTGTTAAAGCGAGATAGATATATTTGCATGGGAATTGTGATATCGCGCCGGGTGTTACGCCAATTCGACTTTCGATGTGACATAACGAAACGTGACGCGTAACAATGCGAGGCTTGAATTCGAGCGACGCGTCGCTTCTATGGGGTACGATATAATGTAAAATAAAATCAAATAAGGCCATATAATATTTATTCAGAAAGCGATATAAATATTTGAAAATTTTTTTTTAAATCGACGGATAATCGCACACACACACACACATATATAGTTTGAAATTGATAAAACTATAAATTACTTTAAAATTGTGCGATAAAACACGCTTTATCAAAATACGACACTAGATATAATTCTCGCGTGTGTGATGATCGTGTGAGATTCATATCAATGGAATTGGATGGTTTTAAAGTTTGCTTTATTGGGAAATTACATTGATTCAAAGTGTATATTAATTTATAGGGTTGGTTATTTCGTTCGCGAAGTCCACGATATTATAATACCGATTTACAATACACATTTATCTTCGTTAGAGTAAAGTCATGGTAAATTCCTCGCTAGTAAGCATCAGCACGGTCATGCGCAAAGTACATAAATGTTTCGATCATTATTTTTCCAGCAGTAGATGTTCATTTGCCTCGTCCAGCATTATACCAGTTGATTAAGTAAAATTAATTTCCCTAGTACAATGTGTACGCAAGGAAGTTTTTTCTTACTCCATACAAATTTTACGCTATTCTGGCAGAAATACAAAAGGAAAAATTAAACTAGTTGGATGCTCACGATATAATAATACGATGCATATGGGTGTGCATATGTTTACACTTATAGTATATTATATATACTATAAGTATATATAATATATTCAATATGGCGGATGTCAAAACTTAAAAAATGTTTATATTGCAATCTAAATATTTGAGTCCACCAATTAGAATTTGACAGTTTCTCTGCAATACACTCCATATTTAACCATGGATATCTTATTAACCATAACCGATACCAAAAATTTCTTTTGAGGGTTGAAAGTCCTAACAATTTTACTTTATTTTGATTGTAATAAAACTTTTCCAGCACATCACATATTGTAGCTATAATATGACGAAGTTCGTGAAAACAGCCCTTTTTTGCAACTTCAATTGCAAATTTCTCAGAATTCTGACATGATGGAGCAATTTCGTGTTCAGCGTCCAAAAACCTATAAGAAACGACTAGTCCCGTTCCGGTGTCCGAAAAAAGTTATTTTTTGTTAAACGGTGTAATGTATCAAGTGGCGAATTTGTCCCACATTTTTACTACTATATTAAAAATCAAAAATAAAAATGCATAAAAACAGGTGTTGAACACATAAGAACACTTGGAAGATGCTCTACTTTTTTGTATCAAAGAAGATACGAAGAATTGCATTGCAATTTCATCGAGTTTCCTCGTCACCAGACCTTCCACATTGTAACCGTTCGGAATATCTGACGCAACGTTCGTCCCTCGTAATCCACCACGATTCTCGTCGCGATACGTAATCTTCGAATGATCTCGTAACTGACGCAGAAATGCGACCGCGGGTATAGCGGTTAAAACGTCGATGTCGCGCGATGCAGCGATATCTAGAGCTGTGCAATCGTTCGACCGTATGCGTGCAACGGTTTACGGTTAGCGGATACCATCACCGCCGCCGTCGACGGCGGAAGAAGTGGTGAAGAACACGGGATAGCCGGTAGGAGGTGCCGAAGAGAGTGGCGGAAGATACGTAACACACTTTACGGGCGCGAACGGATAGAGACGGAAGCGAGGTCGTATATAGACCGGGAAAGAAAGAGAGAGAGAGAGAGGAAAATAGGAGGTGGAAGCTTTCGCGGGCTGCGAGAAAAATCAGAGGGGGCAGCAGGGGTCGGAAAAGGAGAAGGGGCAGTGGAGGCCATGAGGAATCTTACGGCGGTGGGGACGGGTGGCGGCAGCGGCGGCGGCAGCTCGTTCAGCACGCAGGATCAGTCTCGGGGAGAGAGACCTCGCACCGACGTTTTCGCCTCGCTCTAGCTAGTACCTCCGCCGCATTCGTACGTGCTAGAAAACGCGCCGTATCATTGACGATTTTGAGCCGCGGGAGAGAGAGAGAGAGAGAAACGCCGCGGATAACAAAAGGCTCCGGGTTTCACACGTCTCTCTCCGCGACACCGCACTTCTTTCTTTTTTCCTTACTCCAATATCTATCTTCTTCGCCTTGGACGACCCACGCGTTCTGGTGATCGCGTCGGTTGTTGTTGTTCAGTACGGTTAACGAAGGGCCGGCTGAGGGCGAAGGAGAGAGAAGAGAAGCACGAGGGAGACAGGGAGCGAGAGGAGAATCGCGTGCGTCCTCGTTCCGTCCTCTTCGATCGAGTACGCACCCTTCTCGGTCGACGAAGGGAGAAAAGCGAGTACCTACACCGCGTGTAAGGATCATGCCACGCCGCTATCAGCTTAAAGTGACAATCCCGGTGTTGTAGAGAAGCGCGCAAAGGGCTGCAGCAAAAGTAGGAGAAGAAAAGAGAGAAAGAGAGAGAGAGAGAGAGAGAGAAAGAAAAGGAAGAAAACCACTTAAGAAACGCGTTGGCGTTTAAATCACGAAGTAGTACGGCTTGAAGTGCCGACCCTTTTCCTTACGAGGGTACGCATGAGTGTACGACTAATTAGCGAGGGATGCTGGCATAGTGACGAGAAGGGAAAGGGGAATGAGAGTCACCGGCACGACCAGGTCGAAGAGCCAAAGATAAGGGAGATCGTGTGTGTGTGTAGCAGAAAGTATTTCGTATGCGAGTATGTTCGGTGGACCCCCGGGGCGTACTGAGTAGAAGGGAGGTTGCGAAAAAGGCGAAAAATCCCACGATCTTTCCACATCCTTTGTTCCCGGAATTCCCGAGTAGCTGCCTCAAGTTCGCGAACGCTCGAGTATACCTGTGAGGCTGAAGATTCGCTGTCTAAGCGTTTTAGAACCGACGTTTCTCTTGGAATTAGACAAAGCTGGGATATAACGTACGTCTATATAATGTACAATTCTTTTCCTATCGTTGAATTTTCCGAAGTCAGCTCGTGCATTTTACACGCAAGACGAAAGAGGAATAAATAGCTGGAAGGGAATTAGGGTCATTCGATAAGATATCTGGCTTTCTGATCACGTCTCAGACCGCTAATCTCCTGTAAGATTGGTCATTTCGTAGGTCACTCGGGAAGAATTTTATTAAACTAAATCGTACGAGGAACTATGTATTGAGTTCAAAAGCCTTTTGAAATGAATATGATTAATCCGAAACACAATAAACGAAAATAAAGAAATTACTCATATTGCGCTTAAAATTTTGCTTATTATATATATTTGTGTTCTTTTTTAATTTAGATTTCAAGATCCTTTTTTACATTCTTTGATAAACATTTATGATCTGACAATTTATTTGGTAGTAAATACTTTTTCACACCTTCAATGTTTAATTTTAAAATGTGAAAAAAGCATTTGGGATATAGAATGTTTAATATTACATATTAAATATACAAAATTTTACATACATATATATATATATACAAATTTTTTTTAAATAATTTTATATATATATGTATATATGTAAAATTTTATTTAATTATAATAAGAGTAATCAAAGTAATGAAAGTAAGTCCGTCATTTCTGTAATATTAAATATTAGAGTAATTAAACTTGAGATTAGCTCTTTGCAAAAAGAAAATCCAATGATAACTGCTCGAATATTAAGACTTTACGGTCTCTACGGAATTTCAGAGAAACTTGGAATGAGACTCTCGGGAAATTGATTTATCGCGACGTATCTATTTATATATCATGGTAATATGCGAGAAGCTTACACATCAATAAGCAATTTGTTCTTATCTATTTTTATATTATAGATACGGCGACACATATATTGAATCACATATATAGATACGAAGGAAAAAGCTAATACGCGATACATCGCGAAATCGATACATCCCCCATCGCGCGGTCTCTCGCTGTATGTAAATAAACAATTCCATCGCCGACCCACATGCCTTGTTAAGGTTAAACGCTAAAAAAGCGGCGTTTTGATTCGGCAGTCGATCCCGGACGGGCGTGTTGTTCCCCGTTGTCGAGCGAAAGCTTGAAATTTTAAACGCCCGTTCTAGATTAAATTCGACCCGTGTATACCGCGGCCGCGCGCAACGTTATCCAACGGCTTTAAGCCGCGCGCTTAAACTTTAAGCACGAATCGGTGGGGGAGAATAATGCAATCGGACGGGTAATGGGTTAAACGCGGCCGAGTACCTTCCTCCCTCCTTCCCCGCCCCCCTTTTTCTCCCTCATTTCTCTCTTTCTCCTCGTGCAGCTGCGGCCCTTTATCGGCCGTCACACATACCGGGACGGTACGATCGATAGCGCGCGAATATATACGCGATATATACGCAAAAAGCCACGGGCCGCTGGTCGAAGCCCCGCGTATATCTCGCAGCGGCGTGAAATTATATATCGTTGCGATGTGTGATCCGCAGGACGCAGGTGAGATAATATGCGCTCGCGAATTGCGCGCGAGGGTGCGCGAGCCAGGAGGGTGCCATCGTGCCGGTTGCAGTAGTGACTTGCGGGCTTGCGGGCGGACACGTTGCGAGCGCAGCTTGACAGCTTACGTTCCATGTGTCGTGAAAGGGCCTGTGCCAACGGCGGCGATCTCGCGGGCACGGTTTTTCGGGCGAACGACGGCTTCTCGTGAGTAATCGGGGGTTTAGCTCGGCTGCTGTGCCAGCTTCTGTCACCTCCTCATCTTCTTTATCGTCATCATCCCGGCGAGGAAGTGCAAACGCGGGGTACAAAACGCTCGCGAGACGAATCGCGAATCCTACGAAAGAGAGAGAAAGAGAGAGTGAACGTTATCGTTTATCTCGAGGGATATACGAAGAGGATATTGCACGAGAGACATTGGTCCGCTGGCGTCGTGGAATAACGCTACTACTGAACCGGTAAGCTTCTTTCGTGCGGTTTATTAACGCCTTGTAATCCTTAGATTTTACGAGAAGAAACGTCGAGATATCTTGGATATTCTCTCTTTATTTTTCTTCTCTACTCTCCCTCTTTCTCCGATAATATGTTCGATCAAAGAGACAGTTGTTTACGAATTCTGAGTAAAAATTGTAAGCAACATATGATAATACATGTTCAATATCATCATTGTAGAAATTTGTATGTTTATTCGTGATGATAGCGATGCGACAATTGACGTAAAATAGACTTTTCCAGAATTGTAACATCGAAAACTGAACTCGTCTAAAGTGTACTTAGACTTTTCGGTTTTGCACTCTTTCTATGCAAGTTGACAGTTTACTTCGCTTTGCGATTTCTTTCAATACATAGCAAATAGTATCAAAATTCGATTCTTTATTTGAGAATCTATCGCTATTACGATAGCATGAAAACATCTATATATACGCTGGTTTATAAATAATTTTGTTGAATCGTAAAGAGGTCGATACGTTTAGATTTCTCTTAAAAAAGATCATAAATATCTTGCAATAATAATAGTATTTATACACTACCGATAGTTTTTTCGCCATTTAGATTCTGCGATAGCACCATTAATAACAAATTTATTATGTTAATTCACAAATGTAATCACTAAACAAGTCGATAATAATATTTGCGGAACAATAAAAGATGAATTAAGAGAAGATAAACACTAGATTAGGGTAAAAACTCGTATATGGAATGACTGGCGTGACTTCGTGGACACTGTACATAAATTCGAAATACGCGGATTCGCGTGCATGGATTAAATATAATCTTCTGGAAGAGTAAATTAGGGAATACGTTCAATTACCTTGAGTATTCGCGTCACGAAAAGTCGAATCATTGCTCGCGTCTTATGTCGCTTTCGTACCGCCATAATGAGACACCCTGTATATACGTTCAATTAGAATTAAGAGCTTTACAACAGCTGCTTCTCCCGGCAAATTAAACGACCGACAGATTAAAACTTCACGCCGTTAATCCCGTGGTCGTTGTTTTACAATGATTAACGTCGTTGTAATAATCGTTTGCTTTTTTAGGTGAAATTTTCATCTGAAATGTTATTCTCTTAGGAAGATTTATAATTAAAGTATAATATCTCTTTGAAACCTAACTATATATTATTTATACAAAATGATACTACAGATGTACTTATATTAATATATTATTTTTTTAGGCAAATATAAAATAGTAACAAAATTGTTTATACTTGCACGTGCATATTTTTGATATTTTTTTACGCGAACATAAATTGACACGAATCGAATAAATTGTGCAAAATAAAATACCAAAGAACTAGATATACTTCGAGACTGGAAAACCTCGCGAAAATACCGCGCATGCATCCTAGCTAAAAAAAATTAAGTCATTTATGATATGATAATGTTGATTAGATAATTTCTTTTAAATAACAATACATGTATTACTATTAATATTATAATTTTATTATTATGTTACATTTGTCGTGAAATTTGTCGTATAATTAATAGAATAGTATTTTTTTTTTTAATATTTTGATATTAAATCTTTAATGCTAGACACACACTTACGTGCAAGAATATTCGATAATAAATAACAAGCAGCTCGTATACTGTTTTCTATTAACACTAAGAAATTGAATTTGTCTTCTATTACTTCTCGGTTTAAATGACGCAACGGACATTTTTGTAAAGCCATTTTTGTACGATAACGCATTTTATGACTTGACGTTTAAATGATTTAACACTCATCTTGTTGCGCATTAACAACGTTTCCCATCGTTCAATTTACCGTCGCCATATCCAACCGCGTCGAAGCCATGAGGCTTTTGAAGTGTCTGCATAATTCATGGTCGATCTCATAGCAGTAACCTCTCTCGTCCATCATCTTTGGCTCGTCGGCCGTTTTCATGTTCATCACAGCACACTTGCGAAGTAAAGCGTGCTCGAGATAACGCTAAATTTTTGCAGAACATTTGAACATATTTATCGTTTCTAAACTGGAATTAAGTTATTTTCAATTGCTTGCCATTTGATTTTAATGATAAATACATTTGATTTTATATGTTTATAAATTATTTTAATGATTTTTAATGATAATGACACAAAACATATGCGATGTTTGTGAATTAAAATAACATATATTTTAAAAATGTAAAAGAACTTTATGATATTTTGAATAATTTAGGACATGTGTGATTTATTTTCTTAATATCTTATGCTTTAAAAAAGTAATAATATAGGAAGTGAATTTATAGAAGTTTTAATAGTCATAAATATAATAATGTCATAAAATAAATAATTTGTTTTGGAATAAGAACTATTTCTTTAAGAAAACAATTTAATTTATATGCCACGGCTTTCAAAGTTTTTTAAAGAACTTTATTTAATTTAAAGAACTTTATTTCTGAGAGTATGAAACTTTTGACATCTTTATTCGTTTGTAACTTGCTGCAATTTTTAACAATTTTCAAAAATATCACATAGATTTTATACCCAGAATATGTTAAAACATATGAGTTAAAAATATGTCTAATAAGAGAAAGACGTGGTAGAATATAAAATTAAAAAATCTGTTTTATATTTATATGAATTGGAACGCATATTCAAGATTCTTTACGCATTTATATGCACGTGCTAGAATTTTTTTTTTAATTTTAATTTTTTGTTATAGTAGACCGCGAATTTAATAGAAGTAGCTACACTAGAAGCAGCTACAGAGATATTTTATTCGCGATGATATGAGTCTAAATAAAGGAGTAAATGCGCATTTATCGATTTTTCAGACTTTTTAAATACGGAGAAGAGCTGCGTTAAAGTCCAGACGTATACGCTGAAAGTAGCGCAAGGTCATGCAACAATAATCTCACAAGTGTAATTTATCTCTTTTATCTTACAAAAAATATTTTATTATAACTTATTAATTAAAGAAACACATGCAATTTCTTAGACGTTTGCATAAAGCTGTAAAAGAAGACCCTAAAAAATTTCAGCAGCTTTTTTGCGTATTTTTATCTCAAATGTATATATAAGACTAGTATTATTATATATATTTTAATATCTTAGATTATATAAAATTTATAGAATTGTAAATATTTATGTTGTTTTTATTATTATTGCATTAAATATATATACTATGTGGTAAATCGATTAAATTAATTACCTATTATAAATTATACAAATTTTTGCAGAACATTTGAACATATTTATTATATATATATATATATGTAAATCACGAAATTTTCGCGAAATGTATTTCGTAAATTATCGAATTAGTGACAAATTTTGATATATGACTAGTTCGTATATTCGAAGTTCGGATCTAGAGGCATTATTATGACGCACAGAGACGTATGTATAATACATACACTGATGAAATCTTCATATAAAACAATGATTACATGCATAGAGAACGAAGCTTTTTTCCTCCTTCAATCAACACGCGGCGCTCGATCGAAAACAATTTGAATAATTCCCTTCGTGCCGACTCACCGGTAACTTCTTAAAAAGACTTTCGATCTTTGTAAATCGTCCCGATGGTCGTTACGGCTAAGTACTCGATCGGTACGAAATTCTCTTTTGTAATCGCTTAAACGATTTCTTTGCACGGGTCTTTGTTGTACGATAATGCTGACACTTAAACTATGGGAATATTAAGGTATTTTACATACGCATAGCTTCATTATTTCATTCTTATCCTGCAATACAATTTTTTTTACTAATTACTACTGATCGACAAAATGAGACCTTTTTTGCCTTAAATTCTATCAAATCGTTTTTTAGCGCTGATTATGAATCTGGTCGTAAAAATGGCATATCGCGTCAAATTTGTGAGAAAATCTCTGTCAAAGTGGCTAAAATAGGTGTTTTTGATACTTTTGCGTTATATCTTTTGATGGAGATGTACTCCAGAAAGCAGCGACAGCTCAAAATAAAACTCAAGACTTATACTTTATGATAAAAATGCCAGAAATCCCAGGCATTTCCCAGGCATCCCAGAAAGGTTTTCCTGAAAAAAAGTGTGGTCAAAGCATAAAAAATATCATTTATCGCAGTGTTCCGCAGTCATATGTCTCCAATTGACGGTTACTAAAATTTCATTATTTCATTCTTATCCTGCAATACAATTTTTTTTACTAATTACTACTGATCGACAAAATGAGACCTTTTTTGCCTTAAATTCTATCAAATCGTTTTTTAGCGCTGATTATGAATCTGGTCGTAAAAATGGCATATCGCGTCAAATTTGTGAGAAAATCTCTGTCAAAGTGGCTAAAATAGGTGTTTTTGATACTTTTGCGTTATATCTTTTGATGGAGATGTACTCCAGAAAGCAGCGACAGCTCAAAATAAAACTCAAGAGTTATACTTTATGATAAAAATGCCAGAAATCCCAGGCATTTCCCAGGCATCCCAGAAAGGTTTTCCTGAAAAAAAGTGGACGAAACATAAAAAATATCATTTATCGCAGTGTTCCGCAGTCATATGTCTCCAATTGACGGTTACTAAAATACTAATGGCAAAAACTACTCTAATTTTGTTCTTAAGTGATAGCGACCACAAAAAACTACACATACCCACTTCCATGATTTGAAACATTTTTCAAAAATTTGATCCGCCATTTTGGATCCTTTATTTTTAATTTTGAAATTTCAACACGTGATTCGTGATGAGTGACCAAGCAAACATACTAACTTTCATGATTAGAATGATATTTAAAAAAATTTTAGTAACGTACAATTGGAGACGTATGACTTAGGGGACACTGCGATAGATGTTTCTTATATTTTGATCACATTTTTTTAGAAAAACCTTTCCTGCCTGAGACTTCTGGTATTTTTATCATAAAGTATAAGTCTTGAGTTTCATTTTGAGCTATCGCTGTGTTCTGGAACACGTCCCCATCGAAAGATATAATTTACGCAAAAGTATCAAAAGCCTATTTTAGCAACTTTGACTGAGATTTTCTCAAAACTTGA